TCTTGATACAGTCTTTATTATGTGGTACTGCTCGGCATGCATGGGACATTCATTACTGTGACACTTTTCCCAGCTTTCACGTTGACATTCTCTGCTACAGTAGTAACACCATTCGACATGCTGTGAAATGTACAATAAGCATATTCTTCATTATTTGGTTAAAGACAACATACACAACAAAGTCAAATGGTTGATTATCTTAATCAGAATGAGCAAAAAGATGACGGACATGTCTTGTCTTTGCAGCAAATTGAATTTAAACCGATCAATGCAATCAATATCTTAATTAAAATGACGATCATTTTGCCATTTTAACATATGATGGTCAAACAAATACAATTTAAACATGGTTAGTCAAAAGCATGTCAGATATACATCGCTGGAATTAAACGCATTAAAACAAAATGGCCACCAGTTTTATTTGATCTTGGAAACAAAAAGTTGTGTAGTAAGGTATGGTACTAAGTTTAAACAAAATTCATGAATACAAACTCAAGATCTGTTTCTGAGAAGGCAGAAATGCTTGATTTTGATGAATTTTTAACATTAACTGGATGCCATTCAGCCATCTTGAAGCTGATGGTCAAACAAATGAAAGTAGATATGTGCGACAAGATGTATATAGAGTTTAAATATGATCGGTGAAGGGCATGTCAGAGATACGGCTCAGCAACCACAATCATTAATCAAAGAAAGCTTAGAAAGAACTCCCATGTGCTGAGAGTATTGGAGACACATTAAATATAATTCAAAATTACTTAGCTGAAAACTAATTATGCAAATCAGAAAATTAATATGAACAGATTTGAGTGTAAAACTAATGAGGTCTGCGCAATGTAACAGAAAATCTATGTTTCCAAGTTTAATTGAAATGTGATTAGAACCAAAAAATTATGAATTATTATGCTTATTAGGGAATTAATATGAACAGATTTTTACCCCAAACTAATTAGGTTTGTACATTGTCCTAGAGCATCTTTGTACTAAGTTTCATTGAAATGGAATAATTAGTACTTTAGATATCAGT